CTTTCTTGTACCTTCCTGTTGAGACCCCTTGTGCTCATATCTTCTGTTTTGAGTGTCTACAAAAATCATTTGAGATAGGTAAAACAAAAACTATTGACTGTGCTATGTGTAAATCACAAGTAATGCAAACTGATCTAAAACCTGTTCATAGAACCTGGGGGTCTTGCTACACCCAGTTGACATTTAGCTGCAAAAACTGTTTGTCTCAGTTAAGGCTGGAACAACTTAAGCACCACCTTGACTGCAACTCGAAAGCAGAAGACACAAAGGGTCCTTCCACTTCTGCATCATCACTGCAGCCTGTCCAAGTCATTCTTGTAGTACCCCCCATACCATGTAATCCTCCTACTGTTGCTGTCAACCCTACACAAAATAACCCATCTACATGTACTAGGGGTGGGTACCGGTCGGTACGGACCGTTAAAATTATATCGGTCCGGTCCGAAAAAACCGAAACGTCGGTGGACCGGTTTTTTGGACCGGAACAAAAATATACTGATGATCAATACATACATGGTACATACAATGAGGCTTGCCAGGAAAATGAAAATCCAGCGTTAAAATTAAAGAAATTTACCTTAGTGTCCGTCTCTCTCATTTTACAACGATATTTTTCCACATTTATGTTACCGATAGACATCTAGGAATCACAAAGGGGAAGTTTACAGGCCGCATTTGAGCCGAAAATAACTGATAAAATTCAGCCAGCGACACCACATGCTTACACTGACGCGCGTAGATTTTCGGCTCGAAATGAGAAATTAGCGCCGAACAAAACGGACCGTTCCGTTCCCAAGGCTGTATTACTCTTTTGTACTTGTGGTCAACTTGTTTTCTCTGCTTTAATTCCGTACAATACCAAGGAAAATACAAGAAAACTTCGACAGTCGGCTCGCCTCGTCTCCCGGCCGACGCCATCTTGAAAATTTGGATGTTTTTTTCCAAACCTCGCGAAGTCTCGCGCGAAGTCTCGCGAGACCTGCAATTTGACCAAAACCGCTGGAGGGCGCGCAAGAAATCCTGCGATGTGATTGGTTGGAAAGTTATAATGTATTTATTTATTCGGTGCGAAAATCAAGCGTGCTTGCTCTTTTCATAAGACAAACGAATTCTTTCTGACTCGGTAGCCATGCCAAAAGTGAAAAAAGTAAAGTGTGGGATCACATGCAACAATTAACAGATGGGAAGGCCAAATGCAAGCACTGCCAGCAGGTCATTGTCATGGCTGGAGGAACAACAAACTTGGGAAAACACCTCAGAAGGCACCACAAGATTGAGACTCAGCCACATCCTGCTGGATCCATCATGCAGGCCATGCTAATGGGTAAGTTTTTTGTTGTTGTTTTTTGTTTTAATGGGTAAGTCTGTGCTTTGTTTAAAATAGTTTACTACTAGTATTTGTTTCAAGTAAAATCTTTGTTGATTGGAAGTCTTCAAAGTTGAAGTTATAATTGTAGTCTTGTAGAAATGTTTGGGTCTGTCATTCTATGTAACCAAGCTGTAATTTTTGTGGACATGAATAATTTGAGAAAGTGGTGCAAATTAGATAATGGTAATGCAAATGCCCATCCTTGCCCTGTCCCTTACCTCTGGAAGTCATTAGACTGTTCCATCCTGATCCTACTGAGGGGGGCATTTTCACTTTCACTTTATTTATTTGTTGGGTCTGTGATTAAAAATTGAGCACAAAGGTAACAGATATGAAAGTCTTATCATCCCATTAAGTTTTTCAAAGATTTGTAGCCTCTCTTTCTTTGTATCATCTGCATTTGTACTGCTAAGCATTTAATTTTTAGGTGAATGGTAAACAATAGAATTGTAAACAAATGTTTTGGCTAGGCCTGTCCTGCTGTGTCATATGAATCATGATTGAACGAAAAAATGCACATGTATTATGATTTCTTTAATAGAACCTGTAATAGTAAATGTTTCCTTCTCGTGTTTCAGCACCAGCACAAACCTCCCAGGCCAAGGTGCAGGCACAGCCAAGCCCCAGACCAAGTACATCTGCTAATTCTGCTTCCTGTTCAGCAGACACCTTGCCTCCTCTGCCATCTATCGGAACAGGATTCTTAGCCAGCAACGACAGCTCAGCCTCAGCCACTTCAAGTACAATGGCAACTGGGACACCTTTCACAATTGCGAAACAAGCAAGAATGCCCGAGTCCAAAAAACACACAATCACGGCCAGGGTATGCCAATACCTTGTTAAGTCCCTCCGACCGTACCAGACAGTGGAAGACCCCTACTTCAGGGCCATGGTCCACGAGATGAACCCTTTGTACCGGCTTCCAAATCGCCATGATGTCAGCGAGCGGCTGATTCCGGCGATGTATGATGCAGCCCTGACTACCCTAAAACAAGAGTTGGCGACAGCAGACCATGTCTCCCTCACGGGGGATGGCTGGACGTCACGTGTGGCCGACCACTACATGACCATCACCGTCCACTACCTGAAGGACTGGCAACTGCAGTGTAAAGTCCTCCAGACACTGAAAGGAGAGGTACGACAAACTGGAGAGAACATTACTGTGGAGATTGACGAGTGCCTCAAAGACTTTCAACTGGAAGGGAAGGTGAGAGCGATGACAACAGACAATGCCCGGGCCATGATAAACGCCACCAGTATGTCTGGAACTGGCATTTCGCTGGGGTGTTTCGCACACATCCTGAATCTTGCAGCCCAGAAGATGCTGAGTGCAAGAGGAGAGCCAGCCCTTCTCGGTATCATCAGACCTGTCATAACGTACTTTAGGAAGTCGTACATGGGGAAGATCGTCTTGAAAGAGAAGCAGGAGGCACTGGGACTACCTTGCAACTCCCTCATCTTGGACTGCAAGACAAGGTGGAACTCAACCTACCTGATGGTTGAACGATTTGTTCGCCAATATCCTGCCATCGTCTCAGCCACCCTAGATGACAGAATCAAGAAGAAAGACGAGTTCAAGAAACTGCAGAAGGCCTCAGACGACGACATGGGGAAGATGGAGACCTTTATGCAGGTGGCAGAACTCTTGTACAAGATGACAACTGCCATGAGCAGTGAGCAGAAACCGACAGCTGGAATGGTCCTGCCAATGCTGGAGAAACTGCGAGTACACTTCAGCACCAGCGAGGATGACAATCCTTTTGCTGCACGTCTGAAGGCTTCAGTGCGGGAAGACCTGGCGAAGAGGTACCAAGATACTACACAGAAGGAATTCCTGGAAGAAGCTACAGCCTTAGACCCCAGATTCAAGAGCTTCATCAAGGATGAATCTGTCTGGGATAGGCTGTGTGAGAAGGTCACCTCCAAACAAACCATCAAGGAGGAACCAGATGTTGAGAAGGAGGTAGAGGTGAAGGTGGAGCCCACCGAAATGGAGAATGAAGACATCAAGGCGCCAAGGAAGATGACTGCCCTTGAAGAAATCTTCCAGGATGAAGATGAAGTGGAGATCACACACGTGGAGCCACCAACTCCTGTTCGTGTTCGGATTCAAGCAGAGATCAACACGTATCGCGAGATGCCAAAAATCAAGTCCACAGACGACGCAGGCGATTTCTGGCGAAGGAAGAGTGAAGAGCTGCCTGGCCTGCCCCTCTTGGCAAACTTAGCCAGGGAGTACCTGACCATCCAGGCAACAAGTGTTGCTAGTGAGAGAATCTTTAGCACAGCTGGTGATGTTGTCAGTGCTGAAAGAGCTTGTCTCGACCCTGAAAATGTAAACATGGCCATCTTCCTCAAGAAAAACCTGTAATATATGAATGATGGACACTTGGACAGACCAAAAGCAGTTAACATACACAAAGGTTACCTGAACTTACCTGTATTTCCTCAGCTTTTCCATGTGATAAGGTTACCTGACACTGAAAAAGTATGAAGTGTGTAGTCTGGAAGTCCTTTCCCCAGATGATGTGTTGACTCTTGGCTCTTGTGCCAATTTGTTTTCTTTGTAACAACAAGTTACTAAAACACAATCCAAATCTAAAGGGGAAAATCCAATTTATTCCCCTTTTTTCGTCTTGAATTTTAAAATATTAAGACAACAAAATTTTGAAGATAAAGCTTTTAAGACTGTAATAGCAAAAAATAAAGACATTACGAAGTTCAGAAAGACCATCATAGTGGCTTAGATTTCTGGGGTTAGCGAGGGAACTTCCCTCGTGTGGCCAGGTACAAGTTATATTTTCTGTTTTATCCAGCCACCATAGGAGGGAAATTCCCTCCTTTAACCGGTCACAACGGAATGTTTCTGTCTTAGCCGACCAAGAGGGAACTTCCCTCGGCCAGGCCGAGACGAACGGTGTTCATGCACGAAGTCCGTCACTAGCGGCGTCCCTTGCCAAGTCACACACGAGGGAAGTTCCCTCGCATGGTGTTCATCCACGAAGTCCGGAGTCCGTCACTAGCGGCGTCCCTTGCCAAGTCACACACGAGGGAAGTTCCCTCGCGCCGACACGAACGGGCTTCTTACGTGATGTCCGACACGAGGGAAGATCCCGCTACCAGGCCGACACGAACGGTGTTCTTGCGTTAAGTCCGCCACTAGCGGTGTTCCTTGCCAAGTCACACACGAGGGAAGTTCCCTCGACGTCGACCAGGCCGACACCAGCGGTGTTCCAGCGCGAAGTCTGTGCAGGCCGACTAAGGCCGACACGCGCGTACTGTCAAGTCCGCCTAGAGGGAACTTCCCTCGCCGAGTCCGCCAGGAAGGGAACTTTGTCGCGATGTCAAACATGCCGACACAAGTGGTGTATGTGACGATCTCGTCAGGCAGAAAGGCCTGCGGCGTGATCCCGAGAAAGTGGACAGCCAGTACCGTGTCGACATGTCACGTGTCGCCTTGAACTTGGCCTTTAGATCCCTGACGTGGTGTAGGTCGGGGTGACGGCAAAGCCGTCTCCAATGCGGGGAGACCGTTCTGTCCACCGGTATCTCGAACTTCCCTACAAACAAAATACAACATAACTTAATTAGTACACTTAATCAAAGTCTGTAAATATTACACAAACCCATCCTCACATGTTACAATGTGGTGGTAATATAAGACGGTACAACTTACCGACAAAATGCCGCTTGACCATGGCCACGCCACTGTCTGCCTCTTCCGGTGCAAGTGTTGTTGCTTCGGTCCCGGAGGAGCCTTCTGCAAAAACGAGAAATCACACTGAAACCTACCCTGTCCGGTGTCGGTCTCTTCTTACAGCAGATAATTAGCACAGTAGGGTCAAACAATATTGTTGTGCGGACGTCCGTGCCTACATGTATAATGTTTTGAGACAAAGCTCTGCGCAGAGGCAAGTTCTCCGATTCGAAAAAAAACTGAAATATCAAAAGAATCTCGACAATCATGAATGACGTCGAATCTTAACGATGTAATCTATAAACCATAACTATATTATTCTTCCTATTTGTTTTTTTGTTCAATCAGCTGCAAGAGCTAATAATAAGAAGCCGTGAAATTTATCTAGGTACACACTACAGAGATCTGGGAAAAATGGCCATCGTTTTCTGACATACCGACCGCGGTCCTCTCCACGTACAGGACCTGGCCCGTGCCAGGGGTAACATAATAGCCTTCATCCAACATTCCAGGAACGCCGTTCTGGACCCGGAGGAGCCGCAGAAGTCGCCTCAGTGTCAAAGTTTCTCACTGCGAGCTTCGTGGGCGGGCCCAACTCCAGTTTGATCTAGACGTGATATATTATATAGAGTTCTCATTATCTTGCCATGAAACACAAGCAAAAACTATCGGCAAAACAATGCGGTCAGTGAACTAAAACTTCTTTCTCGCGTCTGGATTTCAAGTTAATTGGTAGATTCTGAGCCAGTCAAAAATCCCATGTTTATCATTAAGGCCATGTCAAGTCATTATATGGATGACATCCAGGCGCGCATGAATTTACGTAGGTTTCTTAAAAAAACTAAAAGAAATACCGTAATTCGTAGAAAATGAGAGAATATATTTCGCATGTTGCAAAAAAAGTGTTGGAAAACGATGCTAAGGTCATAGAATACCGAAGTCAATTCAGGAAAAGAAGAAAATGTGAAGAAATGAAAACGAAGAGTCTACTATAAAAAAGCATTATTCGCCATACCATGTTCTGTGTGTTTAGTCATTTGTTCAAGCATTATGATCACGAAGATTTCATAATTAAGGAAACTTTTTTTTTGGCCAAGCTTTTTTTATTTGCACGCTCAGTTTTGGTGTTCCATGAGGATGTCATGCATATAATCAAATCAACATGGCCTAATGAGAACTGAAGCGGTAAGGCCCCGGGACTCTTCATTATATGTTGGGTGGGTGGTGGGGGTACGGAGGTGTTTTCACAACGCCAATTTAGTAGGGACGGTTACGCTTTGAAATATAGATCCAGGAGGAACGACAATGTGTTCAATGAGAGGTTTCGGAAACGAGCTTGTTTTACACGTATCCTTGAATGCCTAGCAGAACTATTTTGAGAATGATGCATTAAGGATACAAAAAATGAATAAAACAAACAAACATTTAGGTCAAAATAAAATTACAAAGACAAGGGGATTTTTACGATCAATATGCCAACCTAGCCGTGTAACTTGCTTCACGTGAAAAGACATTCAGACTATTATCCACGTGAGATAGATAATAAAAAAAAGCTGGGTTTCCCTAGGGTGGCAAGATATCATGTGGGTTTTGGAACACTAGCCTCCGAGGTGACAGGCTCGTATTACACACAGGAACTACAGCGCACAGGGTGATATTATTTCCTTGCGAGAGAAAAACATGTCCTCTCCCCCCCAACGCGAAAGACAATCAGAGGTCAAGAGGAGGTACGTGCCTGGCCAAGTTTTGCATCACAACAAACTACTAGTACGTAATCAGTGAGTTCATCCCGGATAAATGCCGTTATGTACAGCGACTTTACTAGTTGAGTTTGAACAGTACACATGGTGAACGATCCCCATTGCAGACTGATCAACAATATGGATTTCTATGAGTGTGCGGCTGCCATGTAGGTGGGGGAACAACGTGTTCCTTCAATAGTGGGCTGTTAAACGCATTACCTCTTTTTGATCCCATTCTGTTTGTTTTCCTAGCTAATGCCATGTGGTTCTCATACTATTGCCTTCAGCTATGGCTGGAAGTGTCCCACTTCCCCAAAGAACACAGATATTTATAACTTGGCACTCTGTAGTCACACTGAGTCACTACGTACACTACTAGTCTGACACCCTGGTCAGAACGGATCCCCGATCTAGATATTTACCGACCTCTATTATAACTTATATAAAGGGGGGGGGGCTGTTGTAGAATTCCTTCAGAGGCATGCTGGTCCTAGAATCGAGGTGCCGGCCTGTACAGGCCCTGAAAGCAGTATAGAAGAGTCTAGCATCCCGGCTAAAGTTCTCCAGTAATATTATGAAAAATTTACATATTTTACAAATTTTAAACCCTATACATTTCAAATTGTGCACACGCAGACGTACGTACGGATTACTATACCTAATTTACTTCACATGTTGCGTGTTTTGGCCCTGAAGCCGAGGAACTGGCTTGCAGAGACCCTGGAAACAGCCTGGGACCCAGACTAATTGTCGCTGGCTACCGGTATACCACATGGTAGAGACAGCCGCAAATAACCGGCCGTAAACAAAAGGGTAAACCTAACCGCAGGCTACCTACCTCTAGCCTGGCATAGACGGGGTATGTACATTATCAGCAAATGAATCAGTTTAAAATCTGTATAAAGTTTAAGAAACTTGATGTACCTCTACATGATTTTCTACCAGTATACTCCAGTATGAAGGATAACACCCGACCACCATGAATAAATCATATTGAAAATTTCATAAATATATCCTACTCACCTTAGCCAAACGTCTTTGCTTCCAAACATCCTCGATGGTTCCCATGAACCGTCTCCGTCATTCACCAACGCAACTTTTCCATCCTCCTTCCAAATCCACCACTGTCCTGTATC